GGGGGTTTCAGATATTTTCACCAGCATTGAGATGATCCCTTGAGCAGTCGGATGCATCAAGGCGAATCCTCGACCGCTGTCCGACAGACCAGCTGAAGAGAATAGAACATAATTCAGACCCTTGCGCTTGCTGCTGCTGCTGCTGCTGCTGCTGCTCCTTGACTCGGCTCCTGCTCCTGCATCTCCGCTACAACCACCTCTTCATTCTCTTCTTTGCCTTCATCCTGCTCTTGCTGCTACTCCTCCTTGCATACTTCTACCAACGCTCCCAGTCCTCGTCCTCGTCCTCCCTCCTCCCCCTCCCTCCCCTCCTCCCTCACCGGCTATGAAGGAGATGTGTTGCACGTAGAGGTCCGGCAGCAGGGCCTCCCGCGTCATCCCCATCAAGGGCTCACTGATTCTCACCTCCACCCACCCCTTGTCCCCGAAGCCCTGGACCCCCCGGCACTCCAGCTGCCAGAAGGGTTCAGCTGAGGGTGATCTCGAGTAGGGAAATGGACTCGTGGAGAAAGGGAGGAGCAGCAGACGGAGGAGGGGAGAGGTAGAGGAGGAAGAGGGGACGAGATGAAGAACGAAGACGAGGTTTGGGACGAGGACGAGGATGAGAAAAAGCAAGGAGAGGAGGACGAGGACGAGGAGGAGTATTAGGAGGAGAAGGAGCAAGGAGAGGAAGAGGCAGAGATCGAGCAAGGAGATCTCACCGTAGTGTCTGAGACGAGGACAGTGGAGAGGCACGGGAGGCCGCCGATGAGAACGACGACAGCAGCCTGCTGGGCCGAGTAGAAGGAAGAGCTGGAGACGAGCTGGGGGGAGATCTGAGGTGAGAAGTCTCGACCCGTGATGGTGAAGACGGCGTCTGCTGGGGGATGTTCCGATGAGACCCAGAGGAGAGGAGAGACGCTGAGGATAGTTGGCCTGTGAGGTTGTCAAGAGAGAGAACAAGAATGTGAATGATGTCAGTCAGTGAGTTGTTTGTTTGTTTGTTTGTTTGTTTGTTTGTATGTATGTATGTTTGTTTGAAGTGTGTGCCAATACAATGTTCAGACAAGACATTCAGCTTACACAAAGTCAAGAAGGGAATGACAGTGACACCAAACACCAACACCAAAAGAAACGAAGCCCTTTCAGCATCATCAACCATGACAACACGGCATGATTGCACAAGAAAAAATCCTTTCATCATCGCCCAAAACATCTGCCCTGTTCTCACCTTGCAACCACCATCAAAGTCGCGATTGTGCTGCTCCGGTTGCTCCCCCCAAACTCCGTCCCCCCGTCGTCCTCGCACACAACCAACAGCTGAATCTCCCCGACAAACCCAGCAGACACGCTCAAGACCAGCTGGCTGTTCTGCACCAGGACCGGTTGCTTCTCCCAGTTCGTCAGCTACAGGGGTAGGGTCATCACAGAACAGCCACCTGGGTGAAGAGGCTGGTGGAGTTGTGCTGGACTGAGCAAGTGACAAGCTGCTGGGCCTCGTCTGCTCCTGGCCCGGGGGAGAGGGAGGAGAGAAAGCCCGCAAACTCCTGCTTACTGGAGCTGAAGGAGAAGGTGAGAAGGGAGAGGATGTGAGGTAGGAGAAGAGAGACAGGGAGGGGATGGAGGTGAGGAGACGGTAAGAGCAGGGCAGGAGAGGAGGACTAGGAAGAATCGGAGAGAGGGAGGTGTGGAGAAAGTGCAGATGAGGGGGAGGAAGTATGGCTGCAGAACAAGAAGGAGGAGGTGGAGGAGGGAGAAGGAAGGAGAACAAGGACGAGGATCAACGGCTGGAGGGGAGAAGGAAAAGAACGCGACATCAAGAGCTGCTGGTGCTCATTACCCTTCTAGAAGAAAGATGGTGGAAGGAACAACGAAAGATGGAGGATCGTTCCTCGGAAACTGAGGTAAAATTAGATAGAAGAGGGTGAGAGTGAG